CCTTTCGGTCAAGCTTTACATCTTTACCTTCCAGTCCAGTCTCTCTGAAACATTTTTTTTCTGCCGAGACGATACCTGTTGCGCCACAGGCTGACCGGAAATGCCGTCGATAGAGGTAAATGCCTTTTGCACCATATGGCTGCACCCATGTGGGATAAAGCTCGGAGTCTTGTCTGCCCAGCACAGCGCGCTGTCCACTCCACCCCACCCCCACCCTCCCTCCACGACCCTCCAGGCCACGCCCTGGCGCGCGCATGCAGCGCAAGCAGCGCAAGCCGGGAGAAAGGATTTCGGACTTGCGCAACTAAGCCGAGACACGAGAAGGAGAAGGGGAGCGCGGGAGGTGGCGGCGATCCACGGAGGTCCCGCGGGAGCATCGGGTGCCAAACACCTCACACCCAGAAAACCGTTTCTTTCAGGAAGTTTTGATCGTTGTTTCGAGGAGAATTTCGACAGGAAGTGTGACCACTTTTAAGTGTTCAAATCCTTTTTCCCATTTTTAACCGTTTAACTTTAAGGTTCAACGCCTTTTCGTTCACGACACCTTACTCAAAGGTTTGCAGTGCGTAGTTTACACGGGGAGTCATACAAGTGTAAATCGGCGAATCGGTTTAAACTTCGGGGTTTTCATTGTTGACTGTATACTAAACGACTGCCGTTAAACGTTCGGGCCCAATTTGACATTTTGGTTATAGGGCGTAAGTAAATCAAATTTCTCAAAAAATAACCAGAAATCCATTTTTCTAGGGAAATCCTAAAATTATCCCCAGTATGTATTCAGCCCGAATACAAACTAACAACTAACACTCCCTAATACAAATATAAGGGAATCCTAAACGTTTTCATTTCTTATAGGCCCTACCTGAAATGATGCAAGCCAATCAACTCGTACTGCTCTTACCCGCAAGCAGCCGCACCTTTAATAAGCAGGCCTGGGAAGGCCGATCGGGGAAAAGTTGCTTTTGATAAGTTGATTATTATAAATTCATCTATTGCTCCTGACCGGCATTGTCATTTCATTAATATGCGACTCACTTGAGTCGCTGAAGAATCCCACGGAGCGGCACGAAGCAGTCAGCGGTCAACTGATTGCAATAAGGAAACAACCGCAGCGATTGTGAATACAGTGTCTTTATAATTGTTTATGATAAAAATTAAGCTCGACTCATTCAAGACTTCTTCAGCTCCAGTCTCATACATAGCTCGGGTAGTAATTTAATTATTGCGAGCGTTATCGGCACCAGCAGAGGAGTGGCATGAACTATGGGGAAGGAGAAGAGGGAACGTCTTTGTTTCACGGAACAGCTCAAGCTCCAAAACCGATAACGAGATAACGACATGACACGGGCAGAAGAGGGAAATGTACAGTCTTACACTGCCCAGGGCGGGTCTGCAGACCTCACATTGGTATTTGTTTTCGCCTGGCAACGCAAATCGAAAGTAGCAGCTTCCCCTCCGCCACACCTCGCCGCCGGACCACCGCCACGCCACGCCGCGCCACGCCGCGGTAGCCATGAAGTCAGTCAGCCCAACATCACGGCTGTCTGCTGTTCTGTTCCGGGAGGAGGGAGGCACTTGGTGAGTGATGATGGTCCAGCAGTGGCCATGGGGCAGACCGACAGAGAAAGAGGGGAGGGCGGGGGAGGGCCGCGGTCCGCGAGAGAGTGGGAACGAGAGAGAGAGAGAGAGAGAGAGAGAGAGAGAGAGA